AAACACGAGTCTGTAGATCCTGAGTTTCAGTAACAGCGATAGAATCGTAAATCGATATTCTTGAGGAGTTCTAAACTAGAACAAACTGAATGCCTAGTTCTTCATAGTCCTTGATAGTAGTTTAACTAAGCTTAATTTGTTATTTAAACTATGAAAATTTTACAATCTCCTGAAAACCCTTAATCGATCTAAATTGCATTATCAGTTTGTCACGTATAATATGAAATGTTTAAAAAAAATGATAAATTAACATAGAAACTAAAAATAACTCATTCCAAATTTCTCTATATAGAATAAACACGTTAACTGAACTAATAAACTGTTGGATGTTACTTCAAAATACCTTTCAGAAAATCCATGAAGGACGGGGTTACGCTATTTGTCAAAATGGAGCATTCGAAATAATAATAATCTCCACTAGGACGAAATGACCGTCCAGTGCTTCCAAGTTTTCAAAGGTGGTCTAACATTAATCGGTCCATGATCTCAATCAAAAACTTAATAATCTTCACAACCCCTATACTAGTAATATGACTTTATTGGAAGAGGGTTTTGTGAAGATTTTATTAAGGTATTAATAGTTGAATTCATGAGTCGATTGAAGCTAGATCATCATGGAAAACTCGGAAGCACTAGACAACTGTTTCGTCGTATTGTGGGACTCCTTAGTAATGCCTATCTATGATTCCACCCTGCGAGATTCGAACCTAGAACCTATCGGTCTCGTGCGCGAACGCTTAACCTCTAGACTGTTGAGTCGTCCAGTATCCAATGGTGTTATTCTCTAACTTCAACCAACTCACGAAATCAAGCCACCGTCCATATGACTTTCTCTTCAATTTGATGTAGCATATCATTGACATGGAAGTAGAACAAACGAGGAGTATTTTGTAAAGGATAAAATAGTTAGTGTCTTTTTTTAGTAAGCTTGTTTTCTACGGAATAAGGTTGCCTACACCATACCCCACCCCTTCTTCTTTGCGTAGACTTGGGACCCGCCGTAGGCTTAGAAGAGCTACAAGTGGAATTAAACGATAAAATGGAATTATTTTATGATTTGAGTTTGTGCATTTATTGAACAGACTACTTTTAATTGAATAACATCCTTCTAACTAATAGTTTGTATATTTTTGACATCATTACAATGAGTGATTGTTTCATTTACATTTACTTCAAAGTTCAAAGAATTATGCTTTGATCATTTACGTTTACCATTATTTTAATTTTCAATGGCTGAGATCTTAAGTCAATTGAAGTTAGACCACCATGAAAAACCTGGAAGCACTTGATGACCTATCAGTGGTTAAACGTTCGCGCACGAGACTGATAAGTCCTCGGTTCCAATCTAGTAAGGCGAGATCGTGGATGCGTACTGTCAAAGAAGAGTCCCACAATGGGACGAAACGGCCGTCCACTACTTTTAGATTTTCCATGGTTGTCTAGCTTCAATTAACTCATGATCTCACCTATTGAAATTACTATAATATTCACAAAAATACCCTTTCTGTTATGAAGATTATAAATGTATGTTGTTACTGTCATTATGCAAAGTTTTTCTATATTTCTTTAATATTAGTATTTTGATTATGTTTATCATAGTTCTATTCACATTCATCTTTACAAATCAATCAGTTCATATAACAGATTTTCAATTTTCTTTATAGACATCCGTTAAGTGTTATTTCCAAAGGTATTATTATTATTGTTGTTGTTCTTGTTAGCGTTGTCACTAGTATGTATATAAATGTAAGTGTGTTTGAAAAGTAGTCTATACAAGCTTAAATGACATTAGGTATGAGTGAAATTTCAAGTTGTACTATATATCTGTTTGGTGAATAGTAAGTTGTTTATGTGTGTGTGTGTGTGCGAGCTGTTAGCTATTTTTAAATGATTAAAAGATTGTTTACTCGTTACCAAATTACATTATCCGTATTCAAATTATTTAGTTTAAAAGTTGAGATCATGAGTCAATTGAAGATAAACCATCATGGAAAACCTGGAAGCACTGGATGAACGTTTCATTCTATTGAAGGACTACTTTTTGGCAGTGCGCATCTACGGCGTGCCTCAGAAGATAGTCAATATCATACAAAATTCATATGATGGATTAAACTGCAAAAATCGTGCATGGAGGACAGTTGGCAAAGTCGTTCGAAATAAAGACCGATGTCAGGCAAGGTTGCTTACTCTCACACTTTCTCTTTCTCCTGGTGGTCGACTGGATCATGAAGACGTCAACATCTGAAGGGAAACACGGGAAACAGTGGACATTTAGGATGCAATTGGACGATTTAGACTTCGCAGATGATCTGACCTTTCTGTCTCAATATACACTAAGGAAGAGCAAGGTTCTCCGATGCAACACAGCATGCACCAATCCAATCACAATTGACGGAGAAGATTTGGATGATGTAAAAACCTTTACATATCTGGGCAGCATCATTGATGAACATGGTGGATCTGATGCAGATGTGAAGGCGCGGATCGGCAAAGCAAGATCAGCATATTTACAACTGAGGAACATCTGGAACTCAAAGCAACTGTCAACCAACACCAAGGTCAGGATTTTCAATACAAATATCAAGACAGTTCTACTGTATGGGGTGGAAACCTGGAGAACTACGAAAGCAATCATCCAGAAAATACAGGTGTTTATTAACAGTTGTTTACGCAAAATACTTCAGATCCGTTGACCGGACACTATTAGCAACAACGTACTGTGGGGAAGAACAAACCAAATCCCAACGGAGGAAGAAATTAGGAAGAAGTGCTGGAAGTGGATAGGACACACATTGAGGAAAGCACACAACTGCGTCACAAGACAAGCTCTCACATGGAATCCTCAGGGCCAAAGGAGGAGAGGAAAACCAAAGAACACATTACGCCCGGAAATAGAAATAGACATGAGAAAAATGAACAAGAATTGGATGGAACTAGAAAAGGAGGCCCAGGACAGAGTGGGTTGGAGAATGCTGGTCGGCGGCCTATGCTCCATTGGGAGTAACAGGCATAAGTAAGTAGGTAAGTATCTACGATTCGAACTCAGGACCTGTCGGTTTCTCGCGCGAATGTGAATCCCGTAGGACAAGATCGTGGATGTGCACTGCTGAAGATTTCAATTTTAGTACGAAACGGTCATCCAGTGTTTCCAGGTTTTTCATGATGGTCTAGCTTCAATCGACTTATGACTTCAACTACTGAAATTACTATAATATCCATAAAAACTCCCGACCTTATTTAGTTTTTTGAAAAATGATCATAGCGAACAGATACTCAAGAGGTGGACTTGAGAGTCTTTTAAATGAATTTGAAAAATGTGTTCCTCTGTTTTAGTAGATATATCACTGTTATAAATAATGTGCAATTGAAAGAGCATGAAATTTGACACCATGTACAGTATATAAATGTGATTGAAAACCTGGTAAGGTACTGTAAATGTTCTTCTGTTACAAAATTTATATTTACCTGAGAAATAACTCCAATTCATTCTCTTAAATGATTTCTTAAAAAGAGAGTAGTGTTATTAGTGAGAATTTCTGTTACCGAATTTATGGGATACTTTCTATGGTTAGACACTTTAAGATGATATCTCAATAATCAGTAGACGATTGGATGATTTCCAACGGCCTATATATGTACACGATTGTTCTCAGAAGAATATACTTTTTCATTTGATTAAGAATGGAAGGTTTATCCTTGTGAAAATTTTTCACAATTCAATCGATAGTCAATTTCCTTTGTAGAATTATGAGCTTCAAGCTTGAGTTTCATTGGTTCCTTGTCTGCTATGGGTTTCCAGCTTCTCACCTCAATAAGAACCTGAACCACAATAGTTTGACTATTAAAATAAGGTTATGTAAATTCAAAAGTATGATTTGTTAAGGAACTATAATCCATCTGTTTAAAGCAAAAGCAAATAAAAAAGAATCTATTCACTATTGAACTCAACTTCGAGTAAACAGTTAAGAATAATCAGCTAATTAAACAGTTTTAAAGTAACTATCTATGTTTGCTGCATTCAGCAGTGACCCAACTTTCTCTGTATGATCACTTGGACTACAATCTATTCCTAAATGATTCTACTGTTATAAATGAGAAAAAAAGTGTAGGCCATCAAATGTGTTTTAGCACAAACTTACAGAATATCTTAGTAAAATCTGAGAACCATAAGTATATACTTCATTTGTGTAAACTTAATCAATTGTCTCAAATTTGATTGTTCCTTCGTTTCCACATCAATCATTTTGTGTTCTCATTCTCCCTTCTTCCATCTTGTTAACTCTCTGATCCATCCTACGTATATCTATCAATATCAGTAGCACACACTACACTACCAATCATACTTAAATGAACAAAATACAAAGAAGTGAACTAATTCAATGTTTTAACCTGAAACTCAATGAAACCCGATACCATCAAATGTATTACAACACAAAATATTTTCAGTTAGTTACAGTATAATAGATCTTAGTTGATTCATGTCTTCTGATATAATACTATGTTTACAATAATATAAGTGCATCATATCAGTAATAGTGAATGGTTAGATTAGAAAAGACTTCATTTAGTTAGAATGACTAGAACTAATTCTGTTTGATATTGATTTATTGATTAAATAATCGCTAACTGATTTCACATCGATTGAAATATTGATTTTCTTGTAGGAACAAATAGACTAGTGTTTTAACTATCAGTTTCATTTTGACATCATTATATGTGTGCTGTATGAATATGGAATGGTTTGAGCCTATAAACGTTTTGTTTAAAATATGTTATCATTATTATTTTATGGATTGGTTGAAGTTAGACATTGACACCATCAGATGCTGGACAGTGCAGTGGTCTATAGGTTAAGTGCTCATACGCGAAACCGGCAGTTCCAAGGTTCGAATCTTGTCAGACGGGATCGTGGATGCTCATTGCTTCCAGGTATTTCATAGTAATGTAGCTTTAATTGACTCATGAATTCAACTATTAAATCGTTAAAGTATATGAATTAAATTTTATTTGTTTTGGTCGTTGAAAATTGACTCTTTACTACTTACAGAGATTAGTTTTCATTTGTATTTGATCATTCCGTATTCAATAAACTATTTCAGATATAAAATGTGAAAGTAAATGCAAATTCAACTATTATTTCATTCAGAGAAGGGCTTTGTGGATATTGAGATTATGATTTAATTGAAGCTAGACAACCATAGAATACCTGGAAGCATTGGAAGGCCGTTTCGTTCTATTGTGGGACTCTTCCTTGGCAGTGCTCATCCACAATTTCACCTTGCGAGATTCAAACTCAGAACTTATCAGATACTTGGTGATTAATATACCAATTTACAATTTCAATTTTTATTCACTTGATTTAGTTGATCAATTTGAAAATATAAATTTGTATATTCATCACCAGGTATTTGATTTTCATATACACATCAGCATTACCTAAACGCATAGTTGTGCTACACTAAAATAATACATATATACTTTACGTTTATTCTCAATCAACTGAATAAATAGAGATATCTTCGGTAGATAAACTAAACAAGAAACAAGAGCATCCATACTTAATTAACTAGTTAAACCAGATACACTGTGGTGCGTGCTACTTATATTGACATAAGTAGTATATAACGTGAGTCAGGAATGTAATGTCTGACAGCAGAAGATTAGGAAGATCATGAAAGGACGAATGGGAATAGAAAGCAATTTAGTATAGAAATGCAAGAACAATGAAGTCCAAGACAATTATTGAGCATTTCGCCAATTAGGTATTATAGTATGGTTTTTCTATTTTACCAAGTAACTCTGTCATGTTGTGTTAAATATAATTCGGTTGTCGTCACCTGTGTTCTCCTTCACAATATATATATATATATATATATATATATATATATATATATATATATATATATATATATATATATATATATCAGAAGGTTCGTTGATTGAAATCATGAGTTAATCGAAGCTAGACCACTATGGAAAACCTGGAAGCACTGGACGGTAGTTTCGTTCTAGTATGGGACTCCTCAGCAGTGCGCATCCACGATCCCGCATCTGTATGTATCACGTATTTTATTGATTTTTCCTTCTCATTCATTAATGAGGCATAATTATTCTCAAAATGTTTATGGAATATGTTAAAGATAGTTTTATTATTATTATTATTTGTTTTGTTACCATAAAAGAAATACTAATTTGGTGGTCTATTGTTTTCTCAATTGAATACACAACTTTCTAAATTCTTTATCTTTAAGCTATCATATTCTGGTATTTATACTGATGGAGGTAATGGATAGATTAACTAATATGTAGTTGACATGTGATAATTAGTAATTTTTTTAAACATATATCAATTCATATTTGAATAATCATAGATTTTTATATGTTGAATCAGATTATCGTAAAATAAAGTTATAGTTATTAATAAGAGGACTGGAATACTGTTCGGATATCCAAACTGAAGCAAATGGTATTCTGAGGAGGCCAAATTTGGAATCTTCAATTTAAAGGTCTAATCCACAAGGCAGTAAAGCAATGTAATGAGATTCAGTCCAATGGTAGTCGATGATCAATGATTGGTTTATACATGATTTGTTCCTTTACGATACTAGAGTCTATGTGCATCCATAGTTTGGAATAAGGGTTTTCCAACTAACATGGATGAATTCTCCATGTCCACTAATCCGGTTAAAGTTTCGGACATTCACTTTTTGTCCTCTCAAGTTCGTAAACAACACCTTCATCACGAAAAGGTAGTGAGTAGAACTTCCCTGTGATTAGTTATATGCACGTGAATATGTGAGAGTATTTTGAGAAGAAGAGTTGACTCTCTCCAATTTCGGCTGTAGCAGGGCATTCAGCAGCTAATTACAAAATAAGGTGTTTTAATACATTTATCACCCTTCATATATTCATCATACATTAAGATAAATAATTCAGTGATAGTTGACAGTTTTTCGTGATTATATATCAGCACTTCTGTCTCGAATAACATGAAGTCACTAGCTAAAAAAGGAATGGTTATAAAGAATTAGAAAATGTGAATTAGTTATGCTTGTCTAATTATAGACAGTCCTAGACATGAGTGAATCTAGAAGAATTCTGTTGTATATAATAAGAACCAATGAGTCATAGAATGTCATAAGTAAAACATAAATCAATGATGTTAATGGACAGTTATCATATTTTATGATAACTTGAATAATGTTGAAATGATCTTAGCTGTTGAATTGTAACTTAATGTAAATGAGTTCAAAACGCATTCATATTAATAATATTTCGATGACTAAAGTATCACTTGGAATATTTTTTTATATTATGATATATTAGTCAAGTAATTGCTTCCATATTCCATTCCCCTCCCTCCAAAAAACATTAGTGCGTATTTTGTTTCTTTCCAAATAGTTGATGTATCGGTAGAATCCAGTATGTAGGACCGACCAGACAAATAACAAGTTACTTCAATAGTGACTGGAATCTTTACGGTGTTAATATTAATTATTATCATAAGGGGTTTTGTGGAGATTTTAGTAATGTTATAGCTGAGTTCATGAGTAAATTGAAACGAGACCATCATGAAATGCCTGGAAAGCATTAAACGATCGTTTCGTCCTAGAATGGGACTCCTCAAAGTAGTAGGCATCCACGATTACGTTTCTCAAAATCCGAACCCAGGTGCTGTCGGTTTGGCGTGCGAGCACTTAACCTCTAGACCACTGAACTTGCCGACATCTAAGGGGTGTTAATGTCTAACTTCAACTAATCCATGAAATTCAGTCACACATTCACCATTATCTTCAGTGAGTTACTATCTCACAATAGACCCGATTAAACTCCACTAGTCACTCCTTCTCACTAGGACTCCACGACATACCTATTGATAAATAGTTAGGTTAATGGATCAATGTTTTCCAAAATGATTTAACCATATGGATTTTTATATACAATGATAATTTTCATAATTATTTTTAATTCATATCATATCATGTATAATAAGAATGTAATTGATTTCACTAGTTGGGATGATGAGTCAAATGAAACTAGACCACTATGGAAAACCTGCAAGCACTGGACGACCGTTTCGACCTATTATGGGACTAGTGACTGACTTCAAAGATGTATATTCTGGAGTTCTAGTAAGAGTCAGTGACTAGTGGAATACAACCGGATCTGTTGTAAGATAATAACTCACTGAAGACAATGGTGGACTGTAGTGCAATTTTCATAGATTAGTTGAAGTTAGGCATTAACATCATTGTATGTTAGCTCAGTGGTTAAGCACTCGCGCACAAAATTGATAAGTCCTGAGTTCGAATCTCACGAGGTGGAATCAAGGTTGCTCACTGATGAGAAGTTCCACAATAGAACAAAACAATCATTCATTACTTTCAAGTATTCCATAATGATCTAGCTTCAATTGACTCATTCATCTCCACAATCTGTTGTAAGATAATAACTCACTGAAGACAATGGTGGACTGTAGTGCAATTTTCATAGATTAGTTGAAGTTAGGCATTAACATCATTGTATATCAGCTCAGTGGTTAAGCACTCGCGCACAAAATTGATAAGTCCTGAGATCGAATCTCACGAGGTGGAATCAAGGTTGCTCACTGATGAGAAGTTCCACAATAGAACAAAACAATCATTCATTACTTTCAAGTATTCCATAGTGATCTAGCTTCAATTGACTCATTCATCTCCACAATACCTCTCTCTCTCTCTCTTTCTGATTTTATTCATTATATAACCAATACATATACATACATAATAATAATGTTTTTATTCATTTCATAAATTACATAAATTGAATCATCACATTTGAATAATTAAACACAATGTAATAGAAATAAAATTATAATCCATAATAATGTTATTATTTATGTCAAACTATTCTTAACTTAGTTTCTAAGTAGCAACTTGATTGAAACAAAAAAAAAGTAGATTAAGAGAGCAAGAGAGTGTGTGTGTGTCAGAGAGAGAGAGAGAGAGGGTGAGGCGGATGGAATTTCAAATATCTTGTGTACTTTATATAACTTGAAAAGTTATTTATTTTGATGAACGATAGGGGGTGATGATGATGATGATGATAACACTTATTGATTACTTTATAACACACTAATTAATTGTATAAGATTATTGATTTTGATTGAATTATTCTTTAGATAGATTTTTGTTCTTTTATTATTATTATTATTATTATTATTATTATTATTATTATTATTATTTTCTTCAGTATATATAACCAAACTATATTGTTTTCACTTTGATTAGATCCTTATCAAGATTCACTCTAATATACAATAATATTTATATATACATATATGTAATTATTAAATCAATCAAGGCAGTTTATGAGTCCATCTGAAGTTTGTGCTAATAATGATGATGATGATGTTGTTCAGAAGAATGATAAAAGCTTCACAACCAAATCATCCAGCTCAGGGAATAAAACTCCATCAACAAGCAGTTTATGAGTCAATGATCATGGTGGAATAAATTATATAAATAAACATAATAAGTAAAGAGTACAAATTGATAGTGTAATGTTAAGTGTATTAGTTGTGATAAGAATAACAAAGGTTTGTATTCATGTTTGATCATGGGGATTATTTCAATGATTTGAGTGATATAGATGTTGAGATAACATTCGTGAAATCGATAAGATTATGTAATAAGATGTATTCAAATAATTGGACAATAAATCGTATACTTGGGGAAAAAAATAGGTGCAAGGCGGGTGGAAGAAAATAGACAAACAAAGAGTATATAAAATAATTATAAATAAAGTCATTTATTAAGGCCAAGGTAGAGATAAAGGTGTTACAGTTTTCCTATGGATGCAAAGAGTTGAATTATTAACCGAAATTCCTATAGCTTCTGTTATGTGCAAGAGACGATATCGAATCTCAAAAGAAAAACTAGCAATAATACGATAAATCACTTTAACTGATTTATTTCTGTCTACTACATGAACGCTATTAATTTATTTTATATTGTTTGTTTGAATCTTTCGATTGATTTATGGACGAACCAATCATGTATAAGATAATAGGTCTCGGGTTTTTGCGCGGAATTCACTCATTCGTTTGGCTAAATAGAGTTTTGGCATTATAGCTGATGTCAGTTCGTGTTAAAAACCCTAAATCTAATTTCTAACCCTAACCCTGATTTGGTCCTAGTTATTAGGTGGACATTCTCAAGGTCACCTAAATGTCTCTCAAAGGTCGTCCATAAATTATCGACTCACCGATCAGTCTCTTATTGGCATATATGCATCTTGTGAAGATTGCCCCGATATTGCTTTAATTCACAAATATTATAGGCAAACATGGATAGTGGCTAGTAGTGAAAACCAGGACGTACGGTTCGTCCTATTTAGGACTCGTCAGCTGGATGTGCCTGCATCCCAAAGGTGATGTTCATTCCGTGACTCGAACCCAGTATTCTCCATTGTTTGAATACATCTTATTACATAATCTTATCGATTTCACGAATGTTATCTCAACATCTATATCACTCAAATCATTGAAATAATCCCCATGATCAGACATGAATACAAACCTTTGTTATTCTTATCACAACTAATACACCTATCATTACACTATCAATTTGTACTCTTTACTTATTATGTTTATTTATATAATTTATTCCACCATGATCATTGACTCATAAACTGCTTGTTGATGGAGTTTTATTCCCTGAGCTGGATGATTTGGTTGTGAAGCTTTTATCATTCCTTTGAACAACAACATCATCAGCACAAACTTCAGATGGACTCATAAACTGCCTTGATTGATTTAATAATTACGTATATGTATATAAAAATATTACTGTATATTAGAGTGAATCTTGATAAGGATCTAATCAAAGTGAAAACAATATAGTTTGCTTATTTATGTTCTGTTTCAGTTTCTTCATTATCACTTTTTGATGAACGCCAACAAGTGCGAAATTTTTCATACAGCATTATACCCCTAACTAACTAACTAACTAACTAACTAACTAACTAACTAACTAACTAACTAACTAACTGTCAGCATTCGTCATTGATAACGAAAGAAAACAGTTCAATCTTATAAGTCTTATTACAACTTTTGGTAAAGTTATTATTCAAAAACCGTTTATAGATCTCCTGTTAAGTTAGATCACAGCATAAGAAACTCAGAACTTTGAATTGTATAATGAAATAATAAATTTAACGTCATCTATGGCAACAATGATATCATGAAATTGTTTAACAAAAGTATACAATAATTTTGTTGAATGTAAAATAACACTGTCGAGTATTCACAATTGATTAAACACTAGATGTTGATTAATGTTATGTGTGTCAGATCCTTCTTAGTGCAGATCGAATCCTATCGACCAAGTTTCAATGTGTCTACTAGTCAAGGTGATTCGACATTGCCTGCACTATATTGAGATATGATGGTGGTTGTAGATAGTCAACAGGAAACTTTGAACCCGATTTTCGTGCCGTTTGACACTCGTCAGCAAGGTGTACCTGTAATCTTAAAGGAACTGATGCTCTCTAACGGACTCGATCCCGTGTCATCCAGGGATTCCTGTTGACTACTTCCAACCACCATCTTATCTCGACACTGTCGAGGTCATACATAAAGAAATGTTTATTTACCTACAATGTCAGTATTATTAATGTGTAAATGGAAGGCTTGAAGCTATGCATAATTAAATGAAGAACAGTATGATACATAAATTTAGTATGATCAACCATGTTCACTCCTGTGAAGTATTTGTGTTATGTCTCGACAAGAATAATGAATGGTGACTATTGGGATCTATTGATGAACCAATACTAAACGTATATTTCTATTGTATAATTATTAAGTAACTAAATTATGCACATCCGTATTCCTCTTATTATAAGCTTTATTTTGACCTAAAAACTATTATTATACGTCTTACCATTATTGAGTTATACCCAGTATATTAATTACTACCTCCCTCATTCACAGCCACATCTGGCATAATCTGGTACAAATGTTATTTTCTATTTTATGGTACGATGTGGTCTGCTTGATTGGTATATAAACCCCGTATGTTTGAAATACAGGATTCATATTACAGAGGCTGAAATTGGCGTTCTGGAATTAACTGGCTGAACTAAGCGGAAAGCAGGACTAATCAGGACTCTAGGCTGCTCGCACGTGTTTTACGCGTCCTTGGCCCGATCGATAAGTCACTGCTCTCTAATCGGCGGTCGCAAGTTATAACAATTTGCATGTATGAAATACATATGTTTTCCGTGTATGTGATTCCTCAGATGACTAATTTATTCTCTCTAGTGACTGGGATTGACTTAGTAAATGAGTTACGTATGTGAAGAAGATTTGTGAAGGTTATTTAGATTCAAAATGGTTTTCATTACCTGTGTTTAGGGTCGGAAATTGACAAAACTGTTTGACTGAGCCCTTCAGCTATTTAAGTCCATTAAATCTAACATGATCAGGATCTATGATAATTGCTTACTAATCTGACAGTTATTTACTGGAACTCATTCTATAAATAACAGTTATGCATTGTATTATTATTGATTTTTTTCTGATGATCGTTTTAGGATCATCGATCAGTGAATCAACACTTACTTCTGGAACATACACTTTACCAGGTGGTGGAAATTCACAAATTCAACGACGTAGTTCAACTTCTTGTAAATTTGAATCTCCTATTATTTATACACCAAACTATAATTACAGAAAAAACGATACATACGAAAATTATCGTCCACTTTCAGCTCCAAAAACTTATTCCAATCATCGTTTACAAGTGATGAATTCAGATCTTTTAATTAAATATCCTGAATTGGATTATTCACATGAAAATCATTCATCACAACCTTATGATATACAAATTCAATCTAATAGAAACTATAATATCCGATCAAGTTATGAAATTGAATTGAATAAATATAAACATTCTAATAATAGAAATAATTCCAGTAATAGATCCCATTCAAGATTCAATACAATTACAGGTTCCTTCAATCATAAATCATTGAATGATGGATTGAAATTTTATTCATCAGTAAGATCTCATTCCAATCCATTTAAAATAGACTATCATCAAGAGAATACATCTGATACTCATGATCGATATAATTTCCTTCATTCAGGTAATGAATCACATAGACGTCCACTTCTTTCTAATTTACAAAATCAATTTAATCCTTCTCATACAAATGATGTATCAAGAACATATAGACCATTAAGTAGTCATGAAAAACACTTATCAACACGTTCACTTTGTTCAAGATTACCATCACAAAAAAATTTCGAACAAACTAATGAGATTGGTTTATATAAAACTGCAATGTTTGTTATTCCTGCACCTACTTCTAATTCTTTACCGAATGTACAAAATGATGATTTTATATCTTATAAAAAAAATCCCATGGATCAATCAGTTCATCATTATAATCATAATCGTCGTCATCATCACCATCACCATCATCATCATCATCATCGACATAGAGATAATAGTGATAGTTGTTTAAATACTAAATCTAATGAAAAAGTACGTACTTATATTTGTAAAGGATGTGGACGTTCATCGTTGAAACGTAAGAAAGTGAAAAATTCAACTTATTCTCTTGGTAATTCATGTATATCATTAGATAAATGTTCAACGCCTCAATTTATTCATTCAACTAATAATAATAATAATAACAATCATCATTCTCATCATGATATAGAAGATGATTATGAACGGATTATATTTCAATCCCCTGAATATTCCCAAGAAGATCATCGATATTATACATCAATGGATAGAAACTCTTACAATTCCAATCTACGTAATAAGTCTCGATCTAATGTCATTCCAAATAATAATGTGAATAGTTTAAATCAATTTGGATTATATGATCATTTATCAAAAAATTTAAAATCTTCAAATCAAATATCTAAATTAGATTGTAATAAAATTATAGTTGATATTAAACCAAGACAAATGAATGAAGCGGATAAACAACAACATATAACTCAATGGATTCAACTTGGTACATTAGGTGATACACCTAGTTCACCAACTATATCACCATTACCACCTGATGAATATCAAGATAAAGATTTTATGATACATTCATCAAGATATTCTGATGAACAAGATAATAATAATAAGAATGAGGATGATAATGATGATGAGGATGATGATGCTATTGCTATAACTACTGATAATGAAGAGAATCAAGATTATACTGATTGGATTCATTCAAAAGTAATCACACATAATCAAGACACAAATAACAAAGAATCATCTTATGGACAACATAAACAACATGAAAATCATGATGATAATGATGATAAAGATAAAGAAGTGAAAATACAAATTATTAAACAACAAACAGATTTTACTTTGAATAATGAAAAACGTGAAAACCCTCATGAAGGCAATTTAATTATTAGTCGACCAACATCTGACTATACAAATACTTCCACTAATGAAATCAACTTAGAATTTGTCAATAATCCAAATCATATTCATCATACTAATAATTTTAGTAATACTAATTACACTATTGATAATGAAATAAGTAGTAAAAAGAATAAAATAAGCATGGAACCAATGAATCCAAACACAAATCTTATTTTAAATAATTCACTTGTTCAAAATACTTTATCATCTGAACTATTGAATGAACCATCGCCTCAATCAACATCTACAGAAGATATTACTTCTAATTCTAAATATAATCATAAGAATAAATCTCAGAATGAACGTATTATTACTATTAAAGATTTAAGTAGTTCAAATGATCAAACTAAATTATCTATGGGAAAACATTCTTCATTATTGAATCATAATATAGATTCAAATGAATATAATGATACAACATCATCATCATCATTAAAATGTATCCCATCTATATTACCTAAACCAAAATTATATAATATGAATGAAATCAGTATGGAAAAACAAAGAAATCCTACATTAATTACATCAGAAATACGTCATATGAATAGTAAAATATCAAGTCATTTATCAAATACAACAAATATCAATTCATTATTATTAAATACAAATTCAAATCATATAGAATTATTAAATGGTTCAACTGAATTAGCAACTGATTTATATCCAAATTTAGTGAAAACACGTGATACACCAATACCGAATGTTAAAAGTTTAGTAACCTATTTTACAGAATTAATTAAAGTTCATACAGATCTAAATGAGATCAATCATTCGAATAATAATAATAATATAAATAAAGAAAAAGATAATAAACATTATGATATTACTTATAATCAATTTAATAATGATAGTAATAATAATGATAATGATAATGATGATTTAGATATACCAGCAAATATATCACCATTTTTATTACATCATGAAACACCTATTGCTAGAGAACGTCGTTTACAAGCTGTTGAAATGTTAAGACGTCGTTCAACAATTCATATGACATATGATCGTTATAGAGTATTTCCACCTGGTTACAGTACATCAACATCACCATTATTAGAAAAATTTAATCGTAATATAATAAATAATAATAGAGATGACTGTAATACTACTAATAATAGTACTGATAATAATAACAACAATAATGTTCGTAATGAGAGTAATAATAATCATAATGAAAACAATAATCATATATTTATAAAACAAAATAATATTGATCCTATTCATCAATCCATTTCATCACCAAAATATCAAGTACGTATGCAAGCCAATTTACAAAAAGATTCAACAGCTATAGTTGCTTAATAGATTTTTTTCGGGGGGTGGGAGTGGGGGTGGAAATTATTTTAATACATTTACATAACACATAGATTAATAATAATAATAATAATAATCGGCCGTTGGTTTTTTCTTTTTGGCATCGACTCCACCCTTTTTGGAATTTTCTTTATGATTTTTTTCCTTTTTTTCTTTTTATTCCCTTTTTTATTTCATTTCAACTATAATTTTGAATTATTCTGTCATTATCAATTAAAGTTTTTGTAATTTTTTTTCTTATAGTTTCTTCTCCCTCCCCAACTCTTTGTTGTTTGTTTTTCTTTTCTATTTTTTTTTCATATCAAGGTCAACGGAATAGTTGATTATTTTGACCTTATGAATTATAATTCTATATCATTTTTTGATTATGAATAAAAATGTTTTTGTATTTTTTTTCATTGGTTAATCTCCCTCACCCCCACCTTTTGTTTTTCTTCATTTTCTTTTCTTTTTTTCTTTTTTTCATTCCTTTTTGTTACGTTGCAAGTTCAATAGAATCGTTGATTTTCTTTCACTTTACGAACTATAATTTTAAATCATTTTTTGATTATGAATAAAAATATTTTTGTATTTTTAAAAAAAAAATTGTTCCTTCCCCTCCCCTTACTTTTCGCTTTTCTTTATTATTTTTTCTTTTTTTTTCTTCTTTCATGTTCATAGTTCAATATTTTACTTCAAGTTAAAGTCATATAAAATTGAATATTAATAGCCAATAATGATTTCACAAATGTATAAATAATCAAGCAAAACAAAAAAAGAAAAGAAAAAAAGAAAGAAAGAAAACAACTTTCCATGGTGACAATGATGTCGTTTAGTCAATCAAAAAATAAACAAAGAAACTTAGAATTGGTCAATATAGACTACGGTTTTTTTATTAAAAAGATTGAAATATATTTTGAATAATTTAATCAAATTTATAAATCAGATAATGAAAAATATCTAAGTGTTTTATTGAAAAAAATTTCATTTCATTTTATATCATTCATAAGTAATTGTAACAATTAAAAGGATAACAACAGTAATTATTCAAAATAAACAATACAGTTGTTAAATTTGTTTATAAGTCAAAAGGGGTTTGAGGAGATTTTAGAAATTTCATAGATTGAAATCATGAGTCAATTGAAGGTAGATCAGCATGGAAAACTTGGAAGTACTAGACGGCTGTTTCGTCCTAGTATGGGACGTTTCAACAGTACGCATCCCAGATCCCGCAACCCCGAGAGATTCGAACCGAGGATCTATCAGTCTTGCACCAGGCGCTTAACCAACTAGATCACTGAGCCGGCGTCCAGCGGTGTTAAGTGATAAAGTATTTTACTATGATTTAGTAGTTGAATACTTGAGTTTATTGAAGTAAGATCACAATGGAAAATCAAGAAATCTGTGATCTATAGAATTTAATTGAATCTGTTGTGAGACAATAACTCTGTTCAGACAATGGTAAATGGTGGCGAAATTTTGTGAATTAGTTGAAGTTAGACATTAACACCGTTGGATGCTGGCACGCTCAGTGGTTTACGTGTGAGACTGACAGGTTCTGGGTTAGAATGTCACGAGGCGGTATCGTAGATGTGCACTGCTGAGGTGTCCCATACTAAGACGAAACGGCTATCCATTACTTTCATGTATTTCATGATGATCTAGCTTCAACGATCTTATAAATTGAACTACTAAATTACAATGTTATTCACAAAACCCCTATCTGATTTGGCTATAAATTTGTATTTGATTGAAATCATGAATGGATTGATGTTAGATCGTGCGAGCAGAATCGTGATGCGCACTGTCAAGGAAGAGTCCCACAACAGGATGAAACGGCCGTCCAGTGCTTTCAACTTTTCAATGGTAGTTTAAAATCAACCGGTTCATGATCTCAAGCAAAAAACTAAGTAATCTTCACAAGCCTATGCTGATAATTACCATATGCTCACTAGTGACTGACTTCGTGAGGGGATTCTCGGAGTTCTGATGGGAAACAGTGACCTCAGTACAATGAAAGGTAGTCGCGCAATTTCGTGGATTGGTTGAAGCTAGACATTAACATCGTTGGTTACCGGCCGGATCAGTGGTTTAATGATTAAGCGCTAGCGCACAAAACCAATAGGTTCTGTGTTCGAACCTCATGAAGACACACTGCTGAGGAGTTCCACAATAGAACGAAACGGTCGTCCAGTGCTTACAGGTTTTCAATGGTGGTCTAACATCAATCGATTCGTGATCTCAATCAAAAACTTATTAATCTTTTTAACTACATACTGATATAAATTTGTAATAAGTTTGCGATTATCTCAAAATATTATATTAGATCAATATTGTAACTATACAGTTGATTTATCCACAAAGATCTTGTTTAATATAAGATAGATGAAAATGTAAATAGGTATCTCCTTAATTGAACATTGGTCTCCTGATCACTCATCGCTGTATTAATAACAAAACACTCCTGAGCTGATGTACTTGTTTATTTTTTGCTCCCGATTTCTATTGACAATCATTTCATTAATGTTTTAAAAACTCCTAACCAACTGCAACCCTGGGATTTAAACTAAGAATTCATGTAACATGAATAATCCATTTTGATTCCCACTTTTCCAACAGTTAAGTATTTAGTCATCTGAAACATTCAATGAGAAATATAATCAGATCAATATGACAAACGAATAATAATAATTATAACAGTTAATAAGAAAGGAATTTTATGTTGTCTATGAAGTTCAAGTATTTATTTCTAACATAAAGCAGGAAGTTTACTAGTTCATTAATATTTACATATTACTGTAGACTTTCAGGCTTACTTAGAAAGCTTGTGAGGCAGTCCGCACCGGATGCACATATACCAATAACTGAGAGAGACTGATCAATTTCAGTCCTGATTAACAATCGAAAGATACAAGTAAACAACACCAAGTGAGCTTGAAAAATTACCTCATTTCACAAGCAGGTGGCTATCAAGACTCAGTAACTGAATGGATAACATGATAGTGTTTGAAGCAGATGGTACTGGGTTTGAATCTCGGAGTGAACATCAAATGTGGGATACAGACACACCCAGCTGACGAGTCCTAAACAGGACGAAACGTGCGTTGTGAATTCCATTGCTATAATCACTATCCATCTTTACCTAAAAAGCTTGTGACTTGAGGCAGTATCGAGGCAACCCTCACAGGATGCACATATACCAATAAGTGAGAGAGACTGATCATTTTGGAAGCTGTTTTCAAATCAAAAATATTTTGTTTTAGCTATATTAACATAGTTTAAGAAAACTAAATAAACGAGATAAAACTTAAACGTTTGGTTTAAAGTTCTACCCTAACCATATTCAATGAATCCCTCTGTGTTACTTCTTATTAGGTAGGAATGACTTTTGTCTCTATAATCACTTATCAAATTGTTTGCCAGTTTAAATTATATTTAAAGTATAGCTACAAGCTTGTAATTTCGTTACACAATTCTATTTGAACTTTAAAATAAGGCTTTTACTACTGATATATGTGGTATTTCTGTTGAGACGGCTTCCGAGAACTACATCAGAGCCTCTAGAAGTCCCAAAGGAGCAGAAGGGTTTCATCTAATCAGAACGAGCTTTCTAGAACATCAACATGGCAGGCTACTATTGGCCAGAAGTATAACATGGCTCTCCGCTGATTGGTTGAATTATAATGTTGATTTAACAAACGCTAATATCTATAAATACCCATGATCTTCTGCACATTTTCGATTCTTTCCGAACAAGAACTTTCTTCAGTCTTCTTCTGTCTTCTTGTTTGCGACTTAAAGGGTTCGAGAGTTCGAGCGCTCAGGTTATACATGGCATATTAAGAACCTAAGCTATAGATATAACAGTTTTTGATTATTTGATCTATCTAAGAAGATAGTAAAGTTTTAGTCGTTATGAACATAGATTCAATCATTTTCAGTCCAATGTTTGCAAAGAGTTCAAGTTACTTAAGAAAATTCAAGGTTTATTTTCTCTATATTATATCATTATGTTAAATATTAAATAGAATGATATTAACATCTCTATCTAAAGTGATTCAAACGTAAATGATACTGTCCATCATGATAAATAACTGAATGTTTCGGTGTTTGTATCAAATGTTACATGTGAAACGTTAATACTTTTAAATTATTAAATATTTAATTCTCTTGATATTACTTGCTTGTATCGTCCCATTGTTGTTTAGGTCTACAATTGATCAGTCTCTTGTTGTCATATTTAACATTGACAATAAAAAAATGAACAAGAAGGGATAGTAGCTATAGTGGTGAAATCCACGGCACATGTTTCGTCTTATATAGGACTCGTCAGCTGGATAAACCTGCATCCCATACTTGATGTTCACTTCGGGATTCGAACCCAGTACGTCTGCTTCAAACACTATCATTTTATCCATTCAGTTACTGAGTTTTGTTAGCCACCTGCTTGTGAAATAGGGTAAAGTTTCAAGCTCACTTGGTGTTGTTTACTTTTTCTTTCGATTGTTAATGAGGACTGAAATTGATTAATCTCTCTCAATTATTGGTATTTGTGCATCCTGTGAGGACTGCCTCGATATAGCCTTAGGGTACAAGCACTTTAAGCAAAGATCGATACAAGTAAATCAACACCAAGTGAATAATAAATGAGTTTCAAATTGATTTTTGAGGTTCGTTTAACACAATGTCAATTGCTACCACGACCAGTGTGAACTTCTCCATTACAATTTTCTGATATTATTTAACAAACATTTTTTTCTTCATATCCCGAACTCTATAAAATACAAGATTTCTATCATGATAATGATCTTTGCTTCAAAATATGGACAAAGATTTTCTAATTATTGCCTATTTCTTTTACATTCTAATCACTTAATGACATCTATGTAATACCGGGCTGTTAAGTATGTAAGAGAAAACTTAGATTATCCGTTTAATTTCATGGTGACAATTGAATTCATAATGATAAATTTTGTTAATTAAGAAATGAATGAAAGAAACGATGAAACTGGATAAACGTTCTGGGTTCGAATCCCACGTGCGGGATCATGGATTTGCACTACTGAAGAGTCCCATACTAAAACGAAATGGCCGTCCAGTGCTTCCAGGTTTGGAGTGGGGTTCTTACGTTCATCGATTCATGATATCAACTAAAAACAGATCATAGCAGACCATCAGTGAAAACCCGTTTTGCAGGACTCAGCAACAGTATTCAAAGTATAAGGAAGTATGATTTACGACAAGTGGTTTCATAATGTGAAATGATGAACACTTTGTGTCATACAAGACAGCGGACATAAAATATCACTGTTAATTCTGAGAAATCAGTATATGAATATATAATATGTTTACACAGCCTTTGATCATCTATTTGCATGTTGTAGTGTCCTGCAATCTGAATTGTCTTCTAGTCTAATCATCAAATGTTCTGTCTTCGCCATACTTTTGATGAAATGAATCTATTCTCTTAGTTTGTTGACTTTAACAACTTTGAGATTATGTTCCGTTACATAATACTTATAAGCCATCTTGTGAGTAGTGTTCATCATACAAATACTCATTGCACTCTTTAATCACATATTACGTTTCCGTGGGAAATATTTAGCTACCAATACACATCAGTAATCTAACACTCTATGGATATAATATTTACTTTCCTGATGTACTCATTAAACAAAATCATTTGTACGTATTTATTTTCCCTATTCAAAGAGATTAGCAAACTAATATTAAACTTTATTCACTTGGTGTTGTTTTACTTGTATCTTCCCATTGTTATTTAGAACTGCAATTGATCAATCTCTTATTGGCATATGTTCATCCTGTACGGACTGCCTCGAAATCGCTTTATAAGTCACTTTATTAGCAACTATCCATCTTTGCTTATAAAATTAAGCTGTTTACGGTTTGATATCATGCATAAGTCATAAACTACTCCATTAGTCCTTTAAAGTAAAAATCTCATATTGTATATTCGTCATTTGATGATCTATTCAATGAATACACACAATTGAGCCTATTGAGAATGTCAGTTATCAATATAACTGAAGTGATATACAAATATAATT